CAGACACAATTAATGATGAATTTTGCAGACAAGTTAGATATAGAACTAAATATAAAATGATAGGGGATTATAAGGCAAAATCTGTATTTTGCAGACAGAATTAAGGTTGAATTTTGCAGACAAGTTAAAATAAGAAGGATTTTGCAGACAAGTTAGATATAGAACAAAATATAAAATGATAGGGGATTATAAGGCAAAATCTGTATTTTGCAGACAGAATTAAGGTTGAATTTTGCAGACAAGTTAAACTAAGAAGGAGTTTGCAGACAAGTTAGATATAGAACAAAATATAAAATGATAGGGGATTATAAGGCAAAATCTGTATTTTGCAGACAGAATTAAGGTTGAATTTTGCAGACAAGTTAAAATAAGAAGGATTTTGCAGACAAGTTAGATATAGAACAAAATATAAAATGATAGGGGATTATAAGGCAAAATCTGTATTTTGCAGACAGAATTTTGTTGAATTTTGCAGACAAGTTAAACTAAGAAGGATTTTGCAGACAAGTTAGATATAGAACAAAATATAAAATGATAAGGGATTATTAGGCAAAATCTGTATTTTGCAGACAGAATTAAGGTTGAATTTTTGCAGACAAGTTAGATATAGAACAAAAATATGAAATTTTGAGGTGACTATTAGAAAAATCTGCATTTTGCAGACACAATTAATGATGAACTTTGCAAGACAAGTTAGATATAGAACAAAATATAAAATGATAGGGGATTATAAGGCAAAATCTGTATTTTGCAGACAGAATTAAGGTTGAATTTTGCAGACAAGTTAAAAAAAAGAAGGATTTTGCAGACAAGTTAGATATAGAAACAAAATATAAAATGATAGGGGATTATAAGGCAAAATCTGTATTTTGCAGACAGAATTAATGTTGAATTTTGCAGACAAGTTAAACTAAAAAGGATTTTGCAGACAAGTTAGATATAGAACAAAATATAAAATGATAGGGGATTATAAAGGCAAAATCTGTATTTTGCAGACAGAATTAAGGTTGAATTTTTGCAGACAAGTTTAAAATAAGAAGGATTTTGCAGACAAGTTAGATATAGAACAAAATATGAAATGATAGGGGATTATAAGGCAAAATCTGTATTTTGCAGACAGAATTAATGTTGAATTTTGCAGACAAGTTAGATATAGAACAAAATATGAAATTTAAGGTGACTATTAGAAAAATCTGCATTTTGCAGACACAATTAATGATGAACTTTGCAGACAAGTTAGATATAGAACTAAATATAAAATGATAGGGGATTATAAGGCAAAATCTGTATTTTGCAGACAGAATTAAGGTTGAATTTTGCAGACAAGTTAAACTAAGAAGGATTTTGCAGACAAGTTAGATAAAGAACAAAATATGAAATGATAGGGGATTATAAGGCAAAATCTGTATTTTGCAGACAGAATTTATGTTGAATTTTGCAGACAAGTTAAACTAAGAAGGAATTTGCACAGACAAGTTAGATATAGAACAAAATATAAAATGATTGGGGATTATAAGGCAAAATCTGTATTTTGCAGACAGAATTAAGGTTGAATTTTGCAGACAAGTTAGATATAGAACAAAATATGAAATTTGAGGTGACTATTAGAAAAATCTGCATTTTGCAGACACAATTAATGATGAACTTTGCAGACAAGTTAGATATAGAACAAAATATAAAATGATAGGGGATTATAAGGCAAAATCTGTATTTTGCAGACAGAATTAAGGTTGAATTTTGCAGACAAGTTAAAATAAGAAGGATTTTGCAGACAAGTTAGATATAGAACAAAATATAAAATGATAGGGGATTATAAGGCAAAATCTGTATTTTGCAGACAGAATTAATGTTGAATTTTGCAGACAAGTTAAACTAAAAAGGATTTTGCAGACAAGTTAGATATAGAACAAAATATAAAATGATAGGGGATTATAAGGCAAAATCTGTATTTTGCAGACAGAATTAAGGTTGAATTTTGCAGACAAGTTAAAATAAGAAGGATTTTGCAGACAAGTTAGATATAGAACAAAATATGAAATGATAGGGGATTATAAGGCAAAATCTGTATTTTGCAGACAGAATTAATGTTGAATTTTGCAGACAAGTTAGATATAGAACAAAATATGAAATTTGAGGTGACTATTAGAAAAAACTGCATTTTGCAGACACAATTAATGATGAACTTTGCAGACAAGTTAGATATAGAACTAAATATAAAATGATAGGGGATTATAAGGCAAAATCTGTATTTTGCAGACAGAATTAAGGTTGAATTTTGCAGACAAGTTTTAAAATAAGAAGGATTTGTTGCAGACAAGTTAGATATAGAACAAAATATAAAATGATACGGGATTATAAGGCAAAATCTGTATTTTGCAGACAGAATTAATGTTGAATTTTGCAGACAAGTTAAACTAAGAAGGATTTTGCAGACAAGTTAGATATAGAACAAAATATAAAATGATAGGGGATTATAAGGCAAAATCTGTATTTTGCAGACAGAATTAAGGTTGAATTTTGCAGACAAGTTAAAATAAGAAGGATTTTGCAGACAAGCTAGATATAGAACAAAATATGAAATGATAGGGGATTATAAGGCAAAATCTGTATTTTGCAGACAGAATTAATGTTGAATTTTGCAGACAAGTTAGATATAGAACAAAATATGAAATTTGAGGTGACTATTAGAAAAATCTGCATTTTGCAGACACAATTAATGATAAACTTTGCAGACAAGTTAGATATAGAACTAAATATAAAATGATAGGGGATTATAAGGCAAAATCTGTAATTTGCAGACAGAATTAATGTTGAATTTTGCAGACAAGTTAAAATAAGAAGGATTTTGCAGACAAGTTAGATAGAGAACAAAATATAAAATGATAGGGGATTATAAGGCAAAATCTGTATTTTGCAGACAGAACTTATGTTGAATTTTGCAGACAAGTTAAACTAAGAAGGATTTTGCAGACAAGTTAGATATAGAACAAAATATAAAATGATAGGGGATTATAAGGCAAAATCAATGTAATTAATCAATAATTATTTTCTTTCCTTTAAATTTATTATAGCTAATTCATTTATTGGTATGACCTTTTGTCCCTGGTATTGTTAATGACATTCATTATGATTAAAAGGTGTGAACCAATTAGTAATAAATGATCTGTACCTTGTTTATTGTTATTTCAAAGTGTCAATACATGTTGTATTTTCAATTTGTTTATCTTTGTGATATCTTGGTAAAACATCTTTAATGACAATGATATTTATAGTAATATTAGATATCTATCTATCTATCTGTATATTGTCTGCAAATTCTGTTTTACAACTGATCAACAGCATAATTGCCCATTCTCACCTTTTGACCAGTTGACAAGGGATTAAACATCCCCTATATAATCTATATTGTCTGCAAAGTCTAAAATCCTTCTTTACTTAACTTGTCTGCAAAATCCCTCTATGTTTAACTTGTCTGCAAAGTCTGCCTGTATCTATTATATAAATGTAGATATATATACACACATATCTTTTCACTGAGGAATTATTAAAATGTTTTAATTTAAATACTTTCAAATTTGAAACATTTATGTCCGAGTACATGTTTTAATTTATTGTGTATTATATAAAATAGGGTTTGGATTATTTTTTAAATATTTTTCTTTATATTGAATATTATTGTTATTGTTTGTTTTTTCTTGTTTTCAATAATTATTATAGATATATCTATAATTATCATTGTGTAATTATGTTCATATACTTATTAAGAAAGATGAAATATAACCATTTTGCTAATACCTTTTATAAAAATTTTCATGAATATTGTTTTACTTATATAAGAATCACATTATTTGATAAATATGATACATTTAATAAAATGCTATTAAACTTCACATTGTTATTCCTTTTTTATTACACAGCTTACCAACTGATCAACAGCATAATTGCCCATTCACACCTTTTGACCAGTTGACAAGGGATTAAACATCCCCTATATAATCTATATTGTCTGCAAAGTCTAAAATCCTTCTTTATTTAACTTGTCTGCAAAATCCCTCTATGTTTAACTTGTCTGCAAAGTCGTCTGCAAAGTATACCGTCCCATGCAAGGGATAGTTCTTTATCCGATTGCGCATAAAAAGGAACACGTTACCCTAACTATTTTACTTTCGATATTAGCGCATGATAGCTTATAAATATTTCTAAAAATCATTTGTTGAGGCTGTGACAAAAATTAATTTCGGTGCTAGGTTGAGTGCATTTCAGTTCTTACATAAACTCGTTTAAAATATACATTTCTAGCTACCATATATATGATAATCAAAATTCTTCATGTAGCTATTAAAGTTGTTAAAAACTTAAAATGATTACGATATTTTAATAAAGGTTTAGAAACGTTTTCATTTTGCGTGCGTTTTAGCGTGCGTATATCGTTTAGCGTATTTCGTTTAGCGTATATCGTTTTGCGTGCGTCTGCGTATTTCGTTTCGTTTTGCGTGCGTATAACGTGCGTCCGTATAGCGTGTATCGTGCGTTCGTATAGCGTGTAACGTGCGTTTTGCGTGTAAACTGACACGTTCACCCTACTGTATATGATGAACACATTTCCGCCTTTATATTTTACACAATAGAGATTGATTAAATAATGATACCTGAAATTCATTTATTATAAAAAAGTTATATTTTAATGGCTTTTCTGGTACGTCGAATGTCACAGACTTTGAATTACTCGTCTCTAACCATTGTGGATTCGAGTCCCAATGGAGACTTTTGATTATTTCTTAGTTTGAGGCAATTCAGCCAGCTTACGGTATGATGGCTGTTCTATCTAGGTGCCCGCTCGTGTCTGAAATTATGCACATAGCAGCGCCTGAATCTTTGTCCTGCCAAACGAGAAATGTCGCTATAAAATAATAGAACTTTCCGTGAAAAATGTCCGAAATATCCGAATATTGAGTTAATCAAATCGTACTTCCATACAATGTTCAATATACTTTCTCTAGATTGCAGATAAAGGACATCGAAGCGGACGAATAGCAACGCACCAATGCTGCTGGGGTGATACCTATTATACTATCTTGGAAGAGGACGAAATGAAGAAAACGTTAGGTGAACTTTTACAAAATCATGGCTTGAAAAAAAAGAAATACAGCAAACATGAGAAAATGTGTTTATAAAAAAAGTATATCAATAGCAAATGTATGAACATGTATTAAGCATTTCATAATTGAAAAATGTAGATTTGATGTGTTTTAGGTTGTTTTACTGTATTAAGTGCATTAGCTAGACAATTATTTATAAATAAATGCCAAGGCAAAGTTAACGAATCGCTTGATAGATCGCAAATGATAATAAAGGGTTTTCATTGATTTCAGGGGTTGACCTGGAGCGTGATAGCCGTATATTGCCGGTCAAATGTGGTGGACTCATTCTTTTCAACAATATGATTCCCCACCGGAGTTTACCGAATGTTTCCGAAGGAATCCGATGGAGTGTGGATTTCAGATGGCAGCGAGCAAGTGACCCCGGCGGATTATGGGGCATGAAAGATGGAGTCGTTATGAGAAATTCTAAAGATCCAAATTTTAAGTTAGACTGGACGTCTTTTGATGCAGTCAACAGACACATCGTACAGACCGAGTATATAAAAGGCGGGAAAGCGGTAAGCTCATTATTACATTGTCGTTTACCCACGTTATATATATTCCGTGTTTGATTCGAAGAAATAATCGAGCTATTATGATCGTTGCGACGTCGTTGTCGTCTTGCAGAAGCTTTAATACAGCCAACTAGTATGTACGGAATATATACCGCCTGTACCCGACAACGATATTATTAGCAGCAACGATATAATTTGAATAATTAAACAAAAGTATAATAGTAGAGATTCTGAGATTCTGAGATTGAAATCGCATGAGCTAACGATGAACATATCCAAGTTCAAAGCACGTAATTCCTTTCCGCAAATAATCATACTTCGAAAATACCCTGTCACCTTCCATATAGCCAACGGAACATACAAACAATTTAACAAATGAAAAAAGAAATAGTAATAAATAATGAACTTAATAACGGGGATATTAAGTAAAATACTGTTTTTAAATTAGCATGTCCAAATGCTAGTAGTATGCGAGGCTAAAAAGAACTTACTGTATGAAGCACAAACTGCTGTAAGACTTTTTGATTGATCGCAATATCAAAGATTTCATTGGCTGCTGATGGATTTTATGTAGCAAAGCTTTATTTCTTGAATACCTTTACACGAATATGAATGTCTATAAAGATAATACAACTATTTCGTGTCGTCACGTGCTTTTTGTGATTTCATTTTAGGACCTGGAAGAGGAGGAGTTTGATACAACTATCCAAGGCCCTTGGATGAAGAAATGGGAGATAGTGCACATGAACAAACACGTTGACAGATTCATGGAACAAGAAAAGGCGAAGGGCAAATCTTAAAAACTGATGACGTATCAATTCATATAAATATGATAACAACATTAAAACTTTGAGAAAGAATGCTTGATTTGAATGATAATAAATAAAGCTACTTTGGTTATTTGTAATACAAATAAATATATATATTTTGGTATTTATTTACGTGTTGTACGTGTGTACCTACAAATTGAAGGACTAATGATTATAAATCTTCAAATTTGTCGGTGACGCATGCACGAAGGCATCATTAAACCTGCTAGAAATTGTGATCAGATATGTTTCTAGAAATAAGATATGTTTTTGGCAATTAGATATGATCTTTTTTAACAATTAGATATGTTTTTAGCAATCAAAAATATTTCTAAATATATTTCTACATATGAACAATTATTTATGTTTGGAGCATTTAGAAATGTTTCTAGCAAAAAGATATGTTTCTAGAATTAGATATGTTTCTTAAATTTAGATAGTCTTAGAGAATTATAAATAATTCTGTTTTATGAATGGGGCATGTGCGTTAGTTTCATGTTTCTGTGTTCTTATTTAAAATATAATAGACTTTTCCAAACTCGTCTACAGATCGTTAAAAAAAATAAAAAGAACAGAAAAAACCTGAAGAATTGTGATTTGTCATCTTTTAATTTTCATATTTTTTAGGGAAGTACTACTTTAGAAAACGATCAAGAGTCCTAAACACAGTACATAATTAAAGAAGAGATCTTATCAACTTACTCACTAGTACATGATTTCTCATACATTATAATGAAACTCATATATTATAATTCATTATTATCCTCATACAATATTACTGGACATTTATGAAGCGACCTATTTATTTATGCAATAAAAGAGTTAAATTAAATTTCGTCTTTATAATTTTTAAGTCCAAACATTGAATCACCAAATTATACATGTTATATAGACACTGATATTGACTATTAAGTCTAACAAAAAATATATCGTTTCTATCGTCTGCCCATCATCTGCGGATTAAAGAAATTTGTGTTTATCAGCTGCTTATTGATTGCATTAGGATCGAAGTTACCCATATTCCCAGCTCCAGACCCTCCCATACCACTTCCCATCATTGCCATCGGGTTTGTCATCTGACTTGGTGGGTTGTTACTTCCGGATCCGCTACCTGAACCACTACTACTTCCGCCGCTACTGCTACCACTTCCACCGGTGCTGGAACCACTTGAGGGTGACATACTTTGTCCAGAGCTAGACGGTGACATGCTTTGGCTTGAGCCACCACTTCCCCCACTGCTTGAACTTCCGCTGCTAGTACCACTGCCACTAGAGCTTCCACCTGACGTGCTTCCCATCGGAGGACTACCACCATTACTTGTGCCACTCTGAAACTGGGACGGATTGGTCATTGAGTTTGACGACATCATTTGTTGGTTAAAGGCGTTTGGATCAAAACTTCCACTCGATCCAGATCCAGACCCGGAGGAGCTCCCACTGCTACTTCCGCTTCCCGAAGGTGACATACTTTGTCCGCTTCCTGAAGGTGACATACTTTGGCCGCTTCCCGAAGGTGACATACTTTGGCCGCTTCCCGAAGGAGATATACTTTGACCACTTCCTGAAGGTGACATACTTTGGCCCGAGCCTGATGGCGACATGCTTTGGCTTGCACCGCCACTGCTGCTTCCTCCAGTGCCCCCGCTAGACCCTCCACTACTGCTAGCACCAGATCCACCGCTTCCTGAAGTCATACCTTGTTGCGAGGCCCCTGCACTGGAACCCATGTTACTTAAAAACTTGGCAGGGTTACCCATGTTATTACTCAAAGAATTTATTGAATTTGGATCAAAACTTCCACCTGATCCCCCACTTCCACCGGAGGAACTCCCGGAAGAGCTTCCCGAAGAGCTGCTGCTACTTCCACCACCACTACTTCCACCACTGCTCATTCCCGACATTGAAGGCATCATACTTTGTGATCCGGTAGAACTACTTCCAGTTCCACTTGAAGATCCACCGGAAGAACTTCCCATCCCAAAGGGATTTGACATTCCACCTGATGAGCCACCTGTAGAACCACCGGAAGAACTTCCCATAGAAAATAACGGCATGCTGTTACCTGATGATCCACTGCTGCTACTGCCACTGCTTCCGCTGCTTGTCATCCCTGTCATTGATGGCATCATACTTTGTGACCCGCTGGAACTACTTCCGCTCGAAGAGCTTCCACTTCCGGTTCCGGATGCCGACATACTCTGAGAAGGAGAGTTTCCTCCAGGTGGCGGACTTTGCGTTATTTGTTGATTTACTTTATTAGGATCAAAACTTGATTGAGATCCGCTCGAGCCTGAAAAGGTGAAAAGGTAGGGAAGTGTCTTCATAAAAAAGTCAAGTATTAATAACTTGTTCAGTTATTTGAAAGAAAACTTTTTAACATAGACGTACACGTGCAAAATATTAACGTTACGTGGATATGCAATGTCCGATAAAATGCTAGTGAAATTATATTCCTAATTTATGTGTAATGAAAATTGCATTGTGGTTATACAAAGAGTGGCCATTTTCATAAGGAAACCTCCACACCTCCACATTTTAATATAATTTAATTTAATAACGGTATTATTAGGTTTTTGTTGTGGTCATTAATTTTTACCAAATTATAAATCAGCTTTCCTGTTATTTCGAATATTATGTATGTTATATATCGATATCGTGTTTAAAAATAAATAGTGTCTTTCAATAACGATTGAACCAGAACTTTGGTTGTTTCTTACAGTCTATGAATATTCAGAATTGAACATATCCGTAAGTTGCTGTTACTTAAATACGCTTTCTAAACTTACCGGTACCACCTGCTCCTGTCTGTGAAGCGGTATTCACTGAACTGGGATCAAAATTAGCTGCGGTGCCGGAAGACGAACTACTTCCGGGTGGTGACTGTGAGCCGCCGCCATTTTTCATGTAGTTCTGGGCGGTCTGTGATTGTTGCTGATATAATGCATTTGGGTCAAATTGCCGCCGTACAACAAAACCTGCGCAATAAATATAGTAAGGACAATAGTAAGGCATTATTAACATAATTATTAAAGTTAAATACAATGTATTAACATTATCCAAATCATATTGTTGAAAAGATCGATATATGAAAGAATAACAAATGATAGATAATATTATATTATTAAAATATCGACTAACACAGCTACCAAAACTCAATATAATATGAGAAGAATGTAACAGTCGCGACCAGAATGACACAGAAGTCAAAACATCCTAAAGCAAAGCTGAAATTACTCTTTGACAAGCAAATAAAAAGAAAAAAGGCATAAAGATTACAAAAAGAATTAAATAAAAAATACAATTTATAAGTGAAATTGGAAAATTAAAATAATTACCGTTGGACACACACAGAAAACCGAAAATTACGAAATAATTGGTTACCAACATATTAACGAAGTCGAGGTTGGAGAAGGACTAATTGGTGGTCAGTAGAAAAAATGCCAATGTCAAAGATTAGAAGACCTTAAGGTGACCTTAATACACATTTTTCAATGACACAAGTGGGCAGCTGTACTATGATAAGAAAATTAACATATTGATAATAATTTCATTCACAATGGACAAACGATAATTACAATGTACATCTATCTAACATCTGCTCATGAGGTTCATATTTCGTCAACTAAACCGAGGGCGTTCCATTGCTTTTCGTAATTCTTTTATTAATTTCTAAGAATACAGCGTGGACAATGGACTTTTCACCAGCGGAACCTATGCGCAATTACTTTTAGTACACTCATGTCAAAGCCGGTGTACATTTCAAAAAACAAGGCAATTCTCCACTAGCAAAGACACTTACCTTTCTTATATGGTGGGTCACAGTTGTGTGAATTTGTTTCTATTTTAATGCTATCGGAACTCTTCGACCTTTATTCATGTTACATGTAGATAGTTTTGCGACTGGATTCGACCTCTGACTTTACTTATTTATTAACTCAAGACTTTCCATATCATTTTCCTTTCTGAATATTCAAGCATATATAAATATGACCGTAAAAACATGCCTCCTGGACAACCATTTTAATTTTTGTAGATGTCGGTTGTTTTTGCGCATTAAATGCCCGGAAATACCTTTCTTGGAATTTTGTTGTTTGTGGTAACTACTATAGGGGTATATTACATTGTGACGTATTCGTGTTTGACAATTTGAAAGCAATTCATTGAAAATGTCACAGGATTTGGTCTGTTCAAAATTAAATTAACGTGAATATTAAAGGTTACGGGCATATAGATTATAGATAAAGGTATAATAGTTACTGACCCTAATCTGATGTGGGTATCGGATGGAAAAGTAGCGACTATGTCCTATTCTATGTTTTTACTGTTCATGATCCAATCGAAAATAATCAAATTGCTTACACACGCACCTGTCGGATGCCCGGATATGATATCATGTGCTATCTACGCAGTGTATATTTGACGTCAGTGGTCAGTGTTGTATCAGTAAAGTGTTGAAAATTACGTGAAATTTCACTAGCTAGTTTGTTCTAAAGTTGCTTTACAAATTGTACATATAAAATATGCACACTGTGTCTAAAATGCGCTTTATGTATCATCTTTTGCTACCATGTCGTGAGTATATACTTTACTTCATGTTTTTTTTAGATTTCATTTATTTTATGTTTATTGACATTTCAATTACTTTATTTTTATTTCATTCTTTTGTTGTTGCTTTTTAAGCGAATTTACTTTGAGTTAAAATACAGGATGGTTAAGTATCATGGTTTTCAGCATATTATCAACTATGTCAATTATTTATATTTCGTCACCAGACTTGCATTGTGCTTTTTCTCATGTTGAAATATACGAGTGCACTGTAAATCAACATTGTTCTGTTTATTGTTTCTATTTTTGATGTTTTCTCTTTTAAGATTAAGCGAAACTTATTCATTATTTTGTTTAAGGTGAATTTTAGTATCATTTAATTTACTATTACAGTATTATTTCCAGTTTGTGGTGCTTTGGAATACAACGGGAAGCAAAATGGATTCAATCAGAATGTGAATTCGAAATTTCAGAGTTTGAGTGAAAATTTCAATCGACCAGAACAATATGCCGTTCCTCAACAGCATAGCCAACTTACAACATATATGAAGTTTCCCGAAACAATCCCGGGTCCTGCTTCACAGCCCCAGAGTACTTACTACAAGCCAAACGGTGTGAGGCCATTAGAACCTATTTCCGGCCAAAATGCAGAACATGTTCCGTATTTAAATAGACAGCCATTCAACCAAGGAGAACAAATGGTCGACCATCATTATCTCACACGACCGTTGTCCGTAATTTCAACGCCGCATGGTCCGCACTACTTACCACACAGACTCGGCCTCTTGTCAGGAACTACATTTTTGGGGCATGGCCAGGACTATTACTATCACCATTCAAATCCAGCTTTGAATTACGAGGAACCAAGAATAACAGTGTTTGCTGAGAATATTTACATTAACAATGGAAATACCGAGAAGTATGATAACAAAATAGGTCCTAGCGTAGGAATACAAAATGGAGCCAAACCGGATATTCTTGATGCAAAGTTGTCATTTTTGAAGCGCATAATAGCGTCTCTTGATGCAGAGAAGTCTACGGTGGATGTAGTTGATCTTCCCACTCTTGGGTCAGTTAAACCAGATTATATGCCACAACAGTCGAAACCTTTAAATGTATTTGGTACACCTTTCCACCTTCTACACTTTATGAAACTCCAAAACAATAAAATTCCGGATGAATCAAATCATCTTTTCTCAGAAAAAGAGACAGACAACCAATTTGGACAATTCCACCCTCTGCTCAACCCATCCGAACATTCACAGCAGACGACAAACAGTGGCAAGCCGACAAATGTAAAAGCAGACGGCGATGGGAAAGAGGAACATACAGGGGAGAAAACTATAGTTGAAATATCAACTGGTATGAAGGGAGTGACCAGTAAACATGACCAGGGTGAGGCGTTCATAACCGTGGAAGCATTAAATAATGAAACAGAAGACTGATTTGTTGAAGAGACACATGTTTAATGCGAATTAAATACAGTAAATTGTGCATATGAAAAGTGTATTTCGTTTTATTGCCTATCAAATACAGTTCTATACGATTATTTCAAATTCAGTCTGATCCACGTGTTACTATTTTTAATGTCAGTCATTACACATAAATTACTGTCAACTTCGTTATAATAAAGTTTCAAGCTGTATGTAATGCTTTTACATGCTTTGTACCGAATTTGTCATTTTATCACAAGATCAGTAATCTGTTACAAACAGAAAAAGTGTTTATTTGATATTATTTTACGACATTAAACACTTATGTAATATTTTATTACGAGAGCCTGAATTAAGAGATATTCTGCTTTAATTAAAAAGTGGATTGGTCTACATTTGGCACATTTTTAGAATAAAGATTAAATAATTAAAATGTAACATTTGGATTTATATATAAAATATGTCTGAATAAAAAATGTTGATATATTTCACAGTGGTTTAATATGGGAATTTATATGATAATAATAATATTTTGGTCCAGAACAATTGATATTCTATTACATAAAGATATGTGATATAAGAACATGTATCACATACTTACAAACACATTTCATATAATTATGATTCTTCCATGGTTTGTTGTCATTAATGACACTAAATGTCATCTACAAAACTATTTTATAGCTTGTATAAAAATCCTTTAATTGTAGACCAATTCACTTTAACGGTAGACATTGCCTGTTGTATGTGGATTACATCATATCTTTACCTTTACATGCAATCAACGATAATTAAAAACTTAAGCTTTCAATCACTCTTCAACTCGCCACTATTTCTGCACGGGAATTTCTAGTCAGAGAAAAGGGAACAAACTGTTCACCAATAACATTTATATGTTTAACACTCAAGTTATTTCCCCTGACATAAAGTGTTACTGCTTTAAAAAGGCTAAAAAAGGGAGTCTTTTTTATACAGGCTTACAGCCACTGAACATTGCAATGTAATTTATCAAAATTATTCACATATAAGAGCATGATCAGAATGCATGGGTGTGCAGACTGGCCCGGCTCTATACCAGTGGTCAATACTAAACACGCGCGCGCGTGTTTGTGTGCTTTATTTTATTTTGTTGTTGGTGTTGTTATCTGTTTGTTGTTTTTTTATTAAATCATAATACAATCAAGTGCATTAGAAATTAATTTTGAGTACAATATAGAGATTTAATATCCTGTGTTAGCTATTTTCTTCAAAGAACCGATGTATTTTTTTTTCTCTCTTTAATACGTGAATCCCATGCATTCCTCTTAAAAAAGAATGTGTGTATCAGTTATTAATAACTAAAGAAAAAATAAAAAAATAAACAAATTAAAATAAATAAATAGATGATTTGTATGACTTATAAAGCTAAATACATGTAAATGTATAAGAGGAAATAATCTTGTTAAAATATCACGAATGGTGCGATTAAACAATTCAATTTCTGTTTTATTTATTTACTATTGTCTTGACCTATTGACGTAACAAAGATTAGAGGTCTTTCTAAATAACTTTTATATTTGCATACGATAAGTTATATTTTAATTTGCATTCAAAATGAATTTAAATTTATCTAATTCGTGTACACTTGTTTACAAAAATTCAAACAAAAGGCTTCGACATTTTGTCCAAATGGGATCAGTTTAATACTTTTATTCAGAATACTGTTAGTACACATCCAAAAAATCTGAAATCTTTTATTGTTTCAAAAATAGTAGTGCACGCAGACATAACAATAATTTAGTGTATTCATTTTTTTTTCAACTTTATTTAATTTTTGATTTTATGAAATGAATAAGAAGAATTAGCATTTAAGCTATTTTGACAGCGTTAACTTTTATAAAAAAATCAGAATATTTTCATTCTTTAGAAAATTGTATTACGTTATAAGTGACATTATGCCCATCCATGGGTAGATATAGTGAAAAGGTGAAAGTCAAAATAAGTTAACATTTCCTCATAATTCCTTTCAATTTTATAATTTACTTCACATGAACATAAATAACTCACGAGGCGCTGTGAAATGAGCTGTGTCACGACAAAACCAACATAATGGGTTAGCGACCACCATGGATCCAGACCAGCCTGCGCATCCGCGCAGTCTGATCAGGATCCATGATGTTCGCTATCAGTTTCTTTACTTGTTATATGGTCTGTAAGCGAACAGCATGGATCCTGATCAGAGTGCGCGGATGCGCAGGCTGGTCTGGATCCATGCTGGTCGCAAAAGAATTATGTTGGTTTTGTCGTGACACGGCTCATATGTGTGTAATTATCCGTCAGAAGGTATCTGTAACGTTCAATTTATAAAAAGAGTGGGGCAGTCTTTTTATATATTTAGGCAGATTTATTTTTTACCCTTAACATTTTCAAATATCATGTGTTTGTCAATCACCATTATAACGACCAATTTATTGAAATATATAGTCAATTAAAGTCAATTTGACAATGAAAAAAATGAGCATAATGTCACTTTAATCTGTATATCTATAATCTATATATTTTTATCTTTTTCCCCTTAAACCAAGGGTGACAGTGTATATGCCATGTCATCATATAAATCTTGATAATATAAGAGTATATAATCAATAATTCAGGCATTAAGGTTATATGTTGAAATATTGATCTAAATATATTTCTTTATTTTTATTTTTTTCCTCACTGAACTTCAAAAACAAAACTGTGTCCTTATTTTACACCATATGCAAGTATGGGTGTGTGTGTGTTTTTTTGTTTTTGTTTTATTATTTTTTACTTTTTAATTTTTTTTATTTATTTCTTATAACTTGTTTCTATATATATATAGCAAGGATTCAATACTTTACACACACTATCTTTACTTTTGCGTATACGCGCAAACTTTGTATAAAAATAAAGATGAAAACACAAGTTTTCAATCATAAGACCGGATAGATTTTGTAATTGTCGTCTATTTTTTTGTAACTGTCGGCTGTGTTTTTTTGTAATTGTTGGCTGCGCTTTTTGTTATTGTCGGATGTTTTATTGTAACTGTTGTCTGCTTTTTTGTAATGTCGGCTGTTTTTTTAAATTGCTGGCTGCTTTTGTAACTGTCGGCTGCTATTTCTAACTGTAGGCTACTTTTTTGTCACCATCGTAGTTTCGTGATTTCGCGTTTTCACCATCGTACTATCGACTATCGCGTTTTAGATCAACACATTTATAGGCGATGGCCCTAACGGCATTCCGTAGTTAGTCATCTATCAGTAAACAATGATGATCAATAAATCCATAAATGAAACATAATCTCTAATCTCTTACATCGGTTTGTTCTATTTACACTTCTACGTCACTGCAAACTTTGTCAATTGACTTTAGATTGAAATGTCCATACGGTGACAGGGTAGGTTTAATCGGGTGATATGATAAATTGTGTTGTATGTCGCGGAGACGTGGGACAACATTGTGTTGTTTTGTTATTCTTGTTTGGATAAAAGTATACTTTATTGTCAAGTAAGTTTCCTTGGTTTTATTTTTCATTTTTTCTCTTCAAATAATATGACCTTCTTTTAAATATGTATTCGCTATTTCTTAATTAACGTTTAATACAGTCAAGTTACGTAAGTTCGAAAAGGGTGGGATAAGGATTGGAAATGTTTTATAATAATATACATTATTTTTGGTTCGGACGGGGAATATTGAACATTTGTTCTCGATTCCATACATTTATGAAATAAAAATTGAAATATCGTGGTTTCTTATATTCGTATTTTCGAATCATTACACATTTAGTTTTAAATTAATAGTTTATATCATCGTTTACTGTTTAATCATTTCAAGTTGCAATCATTACGTTTTTAGGTTATTATAATTTGTAAAACTGTAAAAGTCGAGACTGACTAAGTAGTTCACAATAAGAATTCAATTTTGATTACTCAAAAAAATAACAATGACAAAAAAGTATAATATTATACACCTTTGAGTTATGAAAGAAAGAAAGAAAGAAAGAAAGAAAGAAAGAAAGAAACAACAAAACAAACAATAAACAAATAAATAATAATAATAAAAGAATAAAAACATTAACAATATTAATACACAATGTTGTAAATTCACAGATCATAGTATTCCACAAATATAATCAAAACATTTTTTGTTTGTTGCTGTTGTACAACATGAATTCGAATGACAATTTTAATCTAGGTCAAGTCTATGTATAATCGGTGGTCACACGCATAACTATGTTGCTATTTCATTACACAAATGAATGAAAATCGCTAAGGAAAATATCTTATTCAGTTAACCCTTCTGTACATGTTTAAACTGTAAAGTCCGGAAATTTTGAAGGAAAAATGGTATAAAATGTATTTTATAACATGCACTTGAATATACATTGTACACTGGAAGCCTTTTATACTTTTATAAAGTCCAGTGTCTAACCTCCCACGACATCGCCCGCCTCCCCAACCCCACGTCTGTACCGATGAAATATCTCAAAGTAAAAAAAAAGGTTTTAGACACCTTAGCGCTATTGATTATTTCTTGTGATAAAACTTGTATTGTCGATCGTGATACTTCGGATATGTCCACATTAATCGTCATCACTTGTTAGTCCCATTAATTACTAAATTGCATCAGCATTAATACTGTATATATCTTTTAATCAAAAGGATATGCCTTGCGAATAATTGTAGTAACAATGCAATTACTTTTTATCATCAATTGTGTCATTCCTTTCTGCAAATACCTACACACGGACGATAACCTACAACAGACAACAGGCGTCGATCAATGCATTCTTGTTTAGTTCGGTCATATACATTTATGGAATGGACGCGTCCTGGATTGAATCTGGAACTGAACGAAGAGTACTGTTTTATATGACAACATGTGTTTATTCTCGCCACCGGAAAAGAACCATATGGGCAAGCAAACACTTCATTTATAACGCTTAAATGTGTGGGATCTGGCATTTACTTAATGTGATAACATGTGAATGTTGTCCTCTTTAATAGGCCGTTCAGATAATACATAGTAAAATAGCAATTAAATGTTATATGTAGCATTAACTCTTTCAGCAATAAAGGTGTTTATGACTTGCATTTGCCACCAATATTAAGTAAAGTCAGTCCGACTTGATTCTAAATTGTCAAGTCAAGTCAAATTTCCTTTATTACACACATTTAATGTTAACATGAATAAATGTGGTTAGTAATAAATACAATGTTAGTAGAGGTTCTTTGAACATATACAATGTTATATAAATTATAGTGCGGATAGATTTTGTAATTGTCGTCTATTATTTTAAAATTGTCGGCTGTGGTTTTTTTTTGTAATTGTTGGCTGCGCTTTTTGTTATTGTCGGATGTTTTATTGTAACTGTTGTCTGCTTTTTTGTAATGTCGGCTGTTTTTTAAATTGCTGGCTGCTTTTGTAACTGTCGACTGCTATTTCTAACTGTAGGCTACTTTTTTGTAACTGTCGGTTGCTTTTTGTAACTGTCGGTTGCTTTTTGTAATTGTCGGTTGCTTTTGTAATTGTCGGTTGCTTTTTGTAACTGTCGGTTGCTTTTTATAATTGTCGGTTGCATTTGTAATTGTCGGTTGCTTTTTGTAACTGTCGGTTGCTTTTTGTAATTGTCGGTTGCATTTGTAATTGTCGGTTGCTTTTTGTAACTGTCGGTTGCTTTTTGTAACTGTCGGTTGCTTTTTGTAATTGTCGGTTGCATTTGTAATTGTCGGTTGCTTTTTGTAACTGTCGGTTGCTTTTTGTAATTGTCGGTTGCATTTGTAATTGTCGGTTGCTTTTTGTAACTGTCGGTTGCTTTTTATAATTGTCGGTTGCTTTTTGTAACTGTCGGTTGCTTTTTGTAATTGTCGGCTCTTCTTTTAGTAATGTCGGTTCAACTTTTTTTTGTAATTGTCGGCTCTTCTTTTAGTAATGTCGGCTGCTTTTTGTAATTGTCGGCTATTTTTGTAACAATCATCTGCTTTTTGTAATTTTCGGCTGTGCTCTTTGTAATTGTCGCCTGTGCTTTTAGTAATGTCGTTTTCTTGTAATTGTCGGCTGCTTTTCGTAACTATGCAGACTAGTAAAGTTTCTTTTTTCTCATTAGGTTATATGTGAGTTTCAAAATATGAAGTGACTGATATAGGTGTACACTGGTCGCATGAAATAATTTATTTGCCGCCAGTAGATTAAGAATGAAATCAATTATTTGCAATTTGAAATGTTATGCTCATTTAGATAACAAGACATCATAAATTTCATTATCAAAATGATATAAAAGTCAAGTATGCAGACTGTACAAACATTGTAAAGGACAAGTTTGTTATGACTTTGTTTTCATACTTAAAATGTTAGGTAAAAATGCGTTACATACAGTTTGTAATGTTCAATGTGGGTATGAAGCGATACGAAAATTTACATTTAAAGTCGACAAAAAGTATATACAATACAGTGCCATTTTATGATCTTATTATGAGCTTTTATGACCAATTTAAATAATGTTGTATAAAAGCACAATTTACGATTATATATATTATTTATATCAATATACAAAGCTAACTCTAGAATTCTTAAATCTTCTAAATGAATATCTAGATTTAAGCTCCATGGCCGAGAAGGTTACTCACTTTGAACCACTTGCCTTACAACAAAAGGGGTTTCGAATCCTAGGCCTTGGTATTATTTTATGTGAGGAAGCTATCTAGCAAGGTTACGAAAGTTCGCTCGTGCAAGCTTCTGTCTAAGATAATGCATGTAGAAGCATTTGAGGTCTTCTTCCACCATAAAAGTTGGAAAGTCGCCATATGCTCACACTGTATCATTTTGAAATAACAATACCAAAAACAGCACAATAATTCTAGATGAATTATAAAGAAATCAAAGATAATATCATTTTGCATATCCATTATAATCCATGACAATAACATAGAATACACATTTATAATTTTAAGGTAAAGCTAAAAGAATACCGTTATGTATTCGAAATTAAGCCTAATATAGCCCTTAAAATTGTGTTTCTTTTCTTAAATCTTAAATTTTAAATATCACATTATCAAATGTATTGTTTTATGTACGTGCTAGATAGCGTGTGTTCTTGTGTAGTTTTTATGGGAATGCGTGCGCGCGTGCATCTGTGTACTTACTGTACGTATAAGTTAATGTAATTGAAACTAAACTCTGAAATGAACTTTGAAACATAAAATGCGAGCAGTAAAAAGCATGAAAATTATGAACTTGTGTTTACGAGGTTGAAGCCTTCTTAGACGTCTGTGCGCAGGTATTTCCCAAATTGTTGGCCTGTAACATGAAATAATCAATGTTTACTTTTACAGCTTTCAAGCGACATGATTGCATTTTAGTTGACTACACATTTAACTATGCTCAACGGAACTATTTGGCCCTATGTAAATAGATTTAGCAATGTAAAGTGTAGTAAACAAGCATTATTGTTTGCAACATTAACATTTTAATAGTCTTTGTAACCGATTACTAAGCTTGTGATATAAATTATATTGGCTCGATTGTTTGATATTTGCTTTTAAAGGACTATTTCTTTAAAACTTATAACCTGGTATCATATCTTGTTTTACCTGATCACATTTCATAATGCTAACATCCTCTTTTTTCACAACAGAATACCAAAAGATATGTATTAAAATGGTCATTTATCAGTTCTGTACTAATTTAAAATATTTCCCTTTCGATATAAACTTCATCCAGCAATATAAGTGCTAGAGGAACGAAAATAAATATACCAGTTTAATTGGTCCTCTATATATACGTTATACGGGTCCTTGAATGACTATCCCGGCTATACGAGCAAGAGGGTGTAAAACATTTAGTACATTTTTTTCTACGTCCACAAGTAAATAAAATTACTATGTTTATAACACCATGCATTCGAAAATATAACGTCCAGTTACCTTTCTTTTTCAGTGAGCGTTCAGCGACATACTGGAAGTTGTGTAGGAAAATGGATTGGCCACATCGGTACTGGACAAGGCGTATAAAAAAGCTGGGCGTTGTCGTATGTGGCGGATTTCTGCTGACTTTATTGTTTTCCCTGAGCAACATTTCAGGAAAGTTCAAGTTCAGCGATTCAAAGTTGCGTTTTACGTCAACAGAACTTGATGTCTACGCATGGCTTAACGACACGACTTCTTTTTGTAAAGGTCATTATACGGCATACGGTCACACGTTCTTCAAGTTGAGGTCAGCCGTATACGACCCTAAGAAAGACTTCTTCACGATACAATGTGACGAATGGATGTGGTTTAAAAAACCTTCAACTTATTGGTTTAATGGAAATTACGCCCCGCCAAAGTATTCCGAATCTTTGACCTTTGTAAGGTCAAAAGGTCACGACCTACATAACACTTTAAAAGATAATAATATTACAATTGTTGTCAACAGAGAGTATCCGCATAATTTCTATCATGCAATGACTCAATGGTATAATATCTACGTTTTATCTCGACTTTTTAAGTTCGATATGAAAAAGGTCAATATACTTTTACTCGACCATGGTCCAGTGGTTCATATAGATGAACAATGGAAATTATTGTTTCAAGAAGTTAGAAAGTCGGAGAATCTAACTTCTTCAATATATCTCAGGGAAGCTATATTTAATATACCCGGACACGAAAGTCCAATGTATTATTTTAATCTCACCCATCTTCCATTCGTTGAAGAATTTTCACAGTATTTTCTGAAAAATTTTAAATTAAAGAGCAAAGAAACATACAATTGTAAGAATTTAACTATAACGCTAATTCTAAGGCACGATTATTTCATGCATCCAGGTGTCAGTAATGAAAAAAGAATCGCGGAAAGAAAGTTTAAAAATGAGGACGAATTGATAGCAAAGCTAAAATCAGAATTTCCGGGTCACACGGTGCAGACGTTAATTGCAGAAGACATGTCACTTCCGGAACAGCTGAGTATGACGTCAAAAACGGATATTTTGATTGGGATGCATGGATGTGTTCTTTCTCAGACATTCTTCTTGCCAAAACACGCAATGGTGCTAGAAATGTTTCCGAATTTTTGGGAAATTAAAATGTTCTTTAATTCTCTAGCTAGGTGGAGGAATATAAATCATGAATATTGGAAAAATGATGACAAAAGAAATGAATATGCAAATCATTACACATATGTGCCTTTAAGTGTAATAGAAAAGTTTGCTGTTCGGGCAAGAACACACTTTATATGCAGTATTCATTAGTTAACTCAAAGATAAATTTTGTTCAAACTGACAAATGGATTATTTTTGTGAGTATTAACGTCATATTTATTCATTTCATTTGGATATATCCTGGGTCTTCAAGAAACGAAATAAGGACGATTACTGTTCGTATATCATCGGTAAAACACTATTATGGGAATTAATTACCGTCCAATTTAAGATTTAATGCTCATATTAGTTCTTATTTATTTGTAGCAAGTTTCTATTGAAATAATAGATATTTGTCTGTCTTGTTTTTTACTTTCAAATAAGTGCCATATGAAACACAGTTTGCATAAAAGTAACATTACATCTGAGTTTTTTTATTATTGTATACGAGTTCCGTTTGGAAACCTCATTTGTTTTGAAATTTAGTGATTTGAAGTGTGGAAGTACATGTATATACCACTTTTAAAAGAAAATAAATAAACATGTGACATTCAAATCCGTTGGATTAACAAACAAGTGTACGTATTTTGTTTATTTGTTTATTTATTTTTTGTTCAAAATGATATTATACATATATTGATACATTTCATAAAAGGAAAATGATATTTCTTTTGAAAAAAAGATAAAAATCCACACTAAGTCTCATGAACTGTCGGCTTAAAAATCAGTCGCTTCATTGAATTGGTGCGTGCAGGTTCGGCATACTCCGGCTCTTTCCGTGTATAGTGAGAGTAAGGTCCGGATGAGTCTCTATATGAACAGGATTAAAATACATCAAATATGAACATTTTTACACGTTAACTTAAAAACTAAAGCTATAGAAATAAAATTTAAATATAACTTTTTACCAACTCCTGAAAGATAGATAAACTAGTAGTCCATTACGATGATCTGATAAGCGTCGGCTTGACTAAGAACAAAAGAAATATTGTGAACATGTAATATTGGTTCTTAATACTATATTGTCAAGTAAAATTCTGACAATTGAAAGATACGGAAATTTCCGAAACTAACCGAAGTTATATGTGATATTACATGACATTTAGTGAGTGCCATATTGTCAAGCGAAACAAAACTTGTCTTATAATCTAATAGTATATAATTATGATTCGGCATTTTTTAACATGTTTAATTGTAAGTATTATATCACGCGCGTACATATTTAATAAAATGGCGATTTGATCATGCTTCTGAGATATTTTATTTTGGAAGAACAAAATTGGTGAAGTGGTATTTTAGTGTAATCTTTTCAAGTGATGAGTGGTAAAAATAAATTTAACTGATATGCAGTTAAAGGGTAAGGGAAAAACTCAGGTTTCCTTCCGTTCATTATTTCAAGCTTGAGTGGGGGTACTTGAGCAGAACCACCGATAGGGATGTCACGTTTATCCATTTAAACAGGTACAGCTGTTTTTTTTTGTTTGTTTCTTTAGCTAAAACTGGTTGAAAACTCAATAACCGGTAACCGAGTTTAGTATTAGACAAAGTGCCGTTATTTTAAAGTTATTAAATTTAAACATTATCTTAGTTTTTAATAACAATATAATTATAACATTCTAATTGTATTTCCTGTTTTCTCCGATTGCATGCTATCTGATCGTGTACGGTACTGTCCTAACGGACAATAGTTACTTTAAAATCGGACTTCTATTGTAATCATTGTTAAATACAACAAATAAGAATACGATGTCATATCTTGTCTTGAAGAAACAAAGTTAATGTTGAAAATCTTTATTTCTACAGTCGGATTACATTTAACACGTTTACAAGTTTTATCATTTTTGCTGACCGTGACATCTCTAGCTTTCTCACACAAAGAATCCAAGGTCATTTGCGGGATTTAGCAATCAGTAATAAACAACAGTTAAGATTATTTTTTGTTTTATAATTTAAAATCTGTTAAGATGGTTTATGTGATTAAGTGTTAAAATAAATGAAAAATGTCAAAATCAAGAACAAAAGGAATCAATTGAATGATGAAACCATTTGAAAGAATCAGTTGTAAATGTTCCTTTTGAAAAAAAAAACGAAAACAAAATTTGTTGTATATGTATGAGTGGTATATGTTTTTGTAATAGGGAAGGTACAAACAAATTATTGTTTCGTTGTTGCATGTATGTGTGTCAACAATTTCATCTGGTGAAAGAGTTTATATATGTATCATGAAACCACTCAAATCTGTACTGAACAGGAAATACATGTATTTGTCTTACGTACAAACAAAAAGTTTCACAAAATTGATTAAACTTCATCTTGTTTGTCATAAAAACCCTGAAAACCACCACACAATTGATTATATTATCAACATATTGATTTGGAATAAAAGAAAATATTTATATATTCAGATAAGATTGTTAAGATTGGTATGATAGTTTGCAGAATATGAAAAATATTTGAGTGCCCAAAGAAAAACAAACGGTTTGCTTGTAACATGGCAGTCTTAAGAAGAACACAAATTTATTTTCAGTGAGTATCTTTGATAAGCATATTAATATTGTTGCTATAAGAAACATGGTATTTCAAACAGGAAGATCCTGTTGGGCATGCGCTGTTCGGGGATGTCAAAATATGAAAACAACTGTCACTTGATTAAACATTCATCTCAGTTTTAGGAGGGCAATTTAAAATAGATTTATTAAATGTGTTAATATTTTGTTTTCTAATGCAAAACATTGTTTCCTTATATAATGCATTGTTTTCATTTATTGATATGCGTTTACCATTTTTCATATTCATGCATGTATAGATTTGTTGTATATGAAGATGAGCTGTATGCTTAATTCAAAATAAAATATATGTTCTGTTCTGTTCTGTTCTATAATGCATGACTGTCTAATGTTTATTGCGTTATTTCCAGTTGCAATAACGACATTATGTCATTTTAAATGACTGTATGTTTTCTAATGTACTGCATTGTTTTTCTCATGTAAATTTACCCTTTTTAGAGCATCGCCTCTTTAAAACAAAAGTTAAAACAAAAGTTTCAATTCCTCCCTAAGAAAGACTCCACCACAAATTGAATCTCTTTCTTGTCCTCAATTTTAACATTTGAGGTTTACATCGAGTAAACAAAATAAGCATCATTTTATAATAAATATAGTGGATAATGGCGGAATATCAAATTAACAAGTATTTAATCTGTTTCAGAAAAGGGAGACTGAAAAACATTAAAATTATTTATGTATATGGGAGACTTATGACATGTTAACACAAATAAACATATGTTTTGCAAATATATATTTTAAAGTAAACAATCAATTCAGGCATGTCAGGTTGCTTGTTTACTTGTTAAATATATACTTGCTATGTTTAGAACAACACTATTATATAGATACACTGTAAATATATACACTATTATATAGATTTACTATAAAAGTACACTATAGATCTACTATAAAAGTACACTATTATATAGATTTACTATAAAATGTACACTTTTATATAGATATACTATAAAATGTACACTAATATACACTTTTTTAGATATACTATAAAATGTACACTAGTATACACTTTTTTAGATATACTGTAAAATGTACACTAATATATAGATATACAGTAAATGTATACTTCTGTGTAGATATACAGTAACTTTAAAATGAACACTATTATATAGATATAATATGAAATGTACACTAATATATATATATACTTTAAAATGTACACTAATATATAGATATACTATAAAATGTTCACTAATATATAGATATACTATGAAATCTCCACTTATATATAGATATACTGTTGTGAAGGTACACTTATATAAAAATGGTATATACTGTAATTATTGATGTTGTCGTCCTTGACTTGAATCAAAGAAAACAACATAATAACTGCCCATTAGCGGACATTAGTAAACTACTTTTTACAAACATGCTAAAAGTTAACATTAAAAAATACTTAAATTTTAATATGTTCTTTCCTGTTGCGATAACGGCAGAATGTCATTTTAAAAATGCTTTTTTGCGGTTAAAGCTGGAGTTTCCTATTCGCCGATTATATGCTACACGTTTTTTATTTGAACATCGATAGGAACTTGTTTGACTCCTTCAGATGATTGTGAATGTGTGTCAGATACTATACAACAGTAAAACTGTAGAAATAGGTCAGATGCCCTATCGACAGTTTGAAACCCATTGTATGGTGGAGTATTATGGCCATCGTACATTCATTTTGTTATTTAATTAGACACCACGGCCACATAGAATCACCTTAAAAGACCATAATTATTGCGACATTCCAGCTTCATTGGCGGAGGTCTGACACCACTATGGATATATGGATAGCTTCCTCATTTGAATAGGTCAATGTCCAAGTCTGGATTTAAAACCGCAGCAGTGTTACAGTTTCTTTAAGCGCTTGCCAACAGAGGACACTTCAAAATTAGTTGTATAAATCTTTAAGTGAATATCAAAATCATTTTTAAACAGTGAAACATAATCATTATGTATAATACTGTCGAATCTCTACTGGAACATTGAATGGAACAATTCATACCATTACTGAACAACTTCTCATCCAACGTCTAGTGTCCTGTTACAAAACACAAATGTAATTTAAAAAAAGAAAGAAAAAAAGACAACAACAACAAAAATACCAACAAAAAAAAACAAAAACAAACAAAAACAAACAGACAGAACAAACAAAAAACAACAAAGTAATTTGATTACGGTAAAAACATTTTATCAAATAGGGCGTATGCTATGATCTCGCTCTCCTAGTGAAAATAAACACTGAACTTTAATGGCACTTATGTGTTTCTATCTATGTGTTTCTATCCAACATAAAAGCTGGACTTTTAAGATAAAAGGAAAATGTAAACAAGATATAGATAACATGAGGTCGCATTCTACACAAAGGCGAATAAATCCCACCTTTGATTTAATCTTTCGAAAGTTATAGGTTACCCTTGCATGTGCTTTTCTATCCAGTCCACCTTAGGGGAGATAATACTTCATTTTAATTATACTTCTATACAATGGATATCAGTATCATTTCAGACGGCGCTTGAACGTTGCACGTTTGCAGGACGGGTCCTGAATAACAGTTTT